ATATAATATCTACACGATTCATTTTATTTTGAACTAAGATTGAATGTCATTATATGAGGATAAATATTTTTATTTATATGTCTCCTTAGCTTCCGACAGCAGAGTGGTGCAGCGGAAGCGTGCTGGGCCCATAACCCAGAGGTCAATGGATTGAAACCGTCCTCTGTTAAAACATTTTGCTTTGTACACACCAAGGGTTTTATGCTTGTTCAAAGGCAGGGGCCAAAATGCAAAGCAGGATGAATTGAAAGTCATCTCTTTCTTATAATAAATGTGCTGGAACTTGGACATTTTACCCTCTTCCAGGCAGTATCTTTGCCAGCAGAGTGGCGCAGCGGAAGCGTGCTGGGCCCATAACCCAGAGGTCGATGGATCGAAACCATCCTCTGCTAAGATGTCTTGCTTTGTACCTACCAGGGGTGAAAGGGTTTTGTGCTTGTTTGAAGGCAGGGGCCGATATGCAAAGCAGGATGAATTGAGAGTCGTGTCCTTCTGATAATAGTTGTGCTGGAACTTGAGCGTTCTACCCTCCTCCGGGCCTCACAGAAAAAAGGTTGCACAGAACCAAAGTTCTGGGCCCTTAAGCCAGAGGACAAGGGGTTAAATGCTAGGTTCAATGATTTCATTTCAAACATCGCTGCGTTCTCCTCTTTTTTAACCATGGGTTGACTTTTCCCCATTTTGGAAAGCCCCAGTGGCACTGGCCTCCTAAGCCAGGGATTGTGGGTTCAAGTCCCGTCTGGGGTGGTGCTGTTTACCTTTTACTGCTTGCATTGGAGACCATACCATCAGCTAAACAGATAATGATAATGTCAAAAGCAGCCATTCAAAGGAGCCTAAAACAAATGACACTGGAATACAATAAGCCAAAAAGTATAATCCACTTTGAGAAAGAACGGCAAAAACTCTTGCATGGACGAGTGTCAGATTTTGTTAACCTCTCAGTGGTGGAAAAACCGCTACAGAAACGTAATATCAGCTAGGCTATATGTAGCTTGGAGTGTACAATGTATCCACAGTAGTGGCCACTCTTGTAATTCTTACAGAACAGTCATTGTAATGGTAATCATAAAACCGAGCATAAAACCACATTTTGGAATAAATATAACTGTAACTGTGCATCACTGTCTTGTAGGCTTACGCTAAAAAATTGGTTTAGAACACAAACCATTGAAGAACACTCACGCACCCTGCAACTGGTATCTTACAATGAATGTACCCATATTGTCCTCACCCCTGCTGGATTGGAAAACAAAAAAAGAACCAAGTATGAACTCTGACAGCCTTTCTATCTGGTCTGCAATAGAAACAACACGAGTGCGTAAGTCCATGAACTTCAAAGAGGAAAGCATATTCATCAGAGTGAAACCACAGTTGTTTTATTGATGCAGCTCAATTTTAATATATCGTAGTTGTTGTATTGTTTAACACTGTCAATCAAATGCATTGGGCCGATTATTTTGTATCAATGTAATAGTTTAGTTATTGCGTTTCAGATAAGACTCTCTCTGGGCGGGAATGGCATAACTTGGTGTCATAGTGCTTTAACAGCAGTTGGGTGACTGGGTGCTTTGGATTCAGGACTATCGGATGCACTGCGCCGCACATAAACTACATGTTTCCACGTTTGTTATTCATAGTTCCTCTTTATGCCACTGTTTTCTTGCCATGTACAAGCTGCACGCTTCACACCTATGAGATATAATTTTAAAAAATAAGTATTTTTGTGATGCCCATATTGTTGTGATAGACCTTGCCAATTTAATTGCCAATTTTTATATTATTAATTTTAATTGCTTTTTATTCACGCTAGCTCATGAACATCTATGTAACCTAAGATGTATTTCTCTTTCCCCTTTTTAGGTAGCTAAATTAAACTACCGATTGAATTTGTAGAATAAAGCTTTGTCATTATTTGCATTCCATTTTTGAACAAAAAATAATCAATAGACACCTGTAAACAAGCACTTACAATAAGTCTCTGATTATGCCTAGGCTGAACCCAAACAAGTTATGAAATAATAATTTGTTCACAATTGCCAACAAAGTACTTGTACCTAAGTATACAAAAAGATGTTATTCGTGTTTGTGTGAAAGTATGTACGGTATATCTGTAAGTATTTATGTTTATGAACACCTTTGTCACAGGCTAAGCAGATGTACCGTATGAACTGTAGAATAAAGAGCAGGCCTACTAAAAAACACAAAACTGAAGACTCATACTTAATATTTGACCTGACCTGAGCTAATTTCTTTTGTCTTACATGGCAAGCTGATTAGTCAGTGTTAGAACCTTGCCTTTCAACTCCTACTTGCCCAAACACAGCATCACCCGCTGAATAAAATTAAATATGTTGGTCATAGACTTTGGATAGTTAAGGTGCAGGGCATAACTTAGGGGGCAGGTTCTGAAGATTGTCCATCACAACACTTCCCTCCAAGATAATTCCCACTGAAGATGGATTGAGGTGAAATGACAGCAGATGCAGTGCAACTTCTTCCTTGATTACATTGCTTGTCTACAATTGTATTATTTGTGACAGGAGAAAGCCATCAATATTCCAGCAACAAAACTTTCAAAGCATGCCTTGAAGAACTCAGCTGTGTTACACCCAGGAATTTTGGGTAGCCCTTGTGGTGTTCCAACACAGAATTAACCAGTGTGGTACGCAGTTAAATGCTATTGGTACGTAATTGGTGGTGATCATCTATTGGTTGAGCAAAAAAGTATATAAAAGGCAGAACCGCCACTAGGGTTGGCGCCAAGTACTCCGCTCTATGCAGAAAGCTATACGTTTGGTGATTGTTATAATAAATAAAACTTTGGTGTTAGACGTAAGTCTGCCTAGTGTGCTTCCTCCTTATCTTAAACAATGTTAGAATTTACTTTTAGTGTTCATACACGACAGGCCTCTCATTGAGACACTTCTGACCCTGGCAGAGTTAGAGGTACGGGGTGCAGTGATGACAGAGAGACAACAATGTGTGATCAACATCAGAAAAGAGGAACCCCAAAGGAAATCATGCTTTTTTAACAGTTTGACCAACTTAAATGTATAAACCTTGACTTGTTGTAAATGATCGCTCAAAATCTGTCCTGTGAGACCCCTCTGTGACCTGAAGATCTGAATCAATTCAGGATCATGACAGTCAAGAAAGTTGTAAAATTCTTGTTTAAGGTTCTTCCCAACCACCAGGCTGAATTCTTGGTACACCTGAAACAGACAAACAAAAACACATGCAGCAACACACTGCTCTGAAATGTACATCCTTGAAATGGACACTAGACTTTCTGATGGTCTCTGAGGTGTTTATTCTGAAGGTGGGCAAAATACTCTGTCTCCTGACAGGGTTCAACAAAATCATACAGCAGACATTCAAACTTCACTTGCAGCTTTTGTACAGATTGTTGATGCTGAGTTGTGAGAAACCGAGACAAATGTATTGTGAAACTTTCGAGAGACTTGAATACACAGATACACTCCTGGTGTAGGCATGGAAATGGTTAGCTCCTCATGTAACTGCCATGCTTCAATCTGTAATGTTTCAATAAGTGTCCTCCAACGGCATGTTTTGCTGGCCATCATGAGACAGGTCTGCAATGAATCTGAAAAAGAAAAAAAAAAATTGATGGTATTTCACCCATTTTTCTCCCAATTTAAACCTGGTAAATTCCATTGTGAACCATCTTGTACAAAGCTTGTGTTTGTGAAGACAGCCATAAGCTGCAACATGCTTCATCCAATACATGTGAAGCTGCCAAACTTTGCACTGCACTGTTGCTAATTTTTTCCATAGCTTATATTATATCTGGAACTGAGCAGACCATGCTAAGCTGCTAACAAAATGTTAGCATGCTAAGCTGCTAACAAAGTTTCATGATGAGCTGCCATTATAGGTATGCATGTCATGAAGAAAAAGCTCCGATATTCACATTGTGCCATATTGCAGGCAATAGCATAAAGACAAGTAAAATGTTTTAACTTATATTAAAGACCAGGGTGATTCTGGACACATGATCACTAAATCTAACCATACGGTAGATAATGAAGGATTCAAAGTCAAAGCTAATTATAATGAGCCAAACCTGCATTGTGTTACGAAGTATAAGGAAAAAAATCAGGAGCTTAATCATGTGATCAGTGACTTAAGGAGTGTATTGATTCACACAAGTTTACAATTTGATCAGGTATAAAAACTCTTTTTGTGTATTTGTTTGCAAAATCACATCATGAATATAGGAGAAATATGTATATATATGACTGCATTATGAAAGACGGGTTGTTTATATATATATGGCAGCCTATATTCACATTGTGTTGATGTGCATTGTGTTAAGCACATTGAAAAAAAGGGGGAAAATCTTGCAATATAATATATGCACTATTCATCTCTATTTATCCTTCAACAGCAGAGTGGCGCAGCGGAAGCGTGCTGGGCCCATAACCCAGAGGTCGATGGATCGAAACCATCCTCTGCTAAGACATTTTGCTTTGTACCCCCAAAGGGTTTTATGCTTGTTCAAAGGCAGGGGCCAATATGCAAAGCAGGATGAATTGAAATTTGTCTCTTTTCAATAATAAATGTGCTGGAACTTGGGCATTTTACCCTCTTCCGGGCAGTGTCTTTGCCAGCAGAGTGGCGCAGCGGAAGCGTGCTGGGCCCATAACCCAGAGGTCGATGGATCGAAACCATCCTCTGCTAAGATGTCTTGCTTTGTACTTACCAGGGGCGGAAGGCTTATGTGCTTGTTCAAAGGCAGGGGCCCATATGCAAATCAGGATGAATTGAGAGTCTTGTCTTTCTGATAATAGATTGTGCTGGAACTTGAGTGTTCTACCCTTCTCCGGGCCTCGCAGAAAAACACAGTTGCACAGAACCAAAGTTCTGGGCGCTTAAGCCAGAGAAGGGGTTAAATGCTCGGTCCAATGCTTTCATTTCAAATATAGCTGCGTTCTCCTCTTTTTTCACCATGGGTTGACTTTTCTTCCCTTTGGAAAGCACAAGCGGCCTAATGGCTAAGGCACTGCCCTACTAAGTCAGGGATTGTGGGTTCAAGTCCCATCTGGGGTGCTGCTGCTCAGCTTTCACTGCATGCATTGGAGGCCATAACATCAGCCCGGCAGATTAAAACCAGCCAGAGACAATGAAAGAGCAGCTTCCTCTTGCTCTCTCACATTCCCAGCACAACTGGAAATGACCAAGAGCTCTCTCTCCACTTGCTTCAATTTTTTTCACCAGTTCAGGAAACAATTGCTTCATGAAGGGCCCAGCGGGCTTCATTTTGTGCCACTGGCCTCAGAGTCCAGATAATGTGGATTCAAGTCACACTAGGCACCTGATTGCCTTCAGCTGGAATAATCATAGGTGTGAATGACAGCCCGACAATCAGCCAAGCCGATAAAATCTCACCAAAGAGTGAAATAACCAGGAGCAGAGTGGAAAGAGGGGAGTGCGCTCGATCCGTCGTCCAAACATAGATATTTAAAGAATGCTCTCAGCTGCACCCAGGAGATTCTAAGCCTTTTTCAATCGACTGCTCTTGGTCTGATTGTTCGCTCCTGCTTTGGTCTTTTGAAAATACGTCTCCGCTAACGCTGCCAGAACAACGTGACACTTTCTCCGATTGCTTCAACTTTTTTCACCAATTCAGGAAAATACATGCCTCATGAAAGGCACAGTGGGCTTAAGTGTAAAGAACAGCAGCCTCTAAATCCAGCTGGCTTACACTGCCAGAGCAACGTGTTGCTTTCTCCCCTTGCTTCTGGTTTTATGACCAATTCAGGGAAATAATCCCCTCAGTAACGGCCCAGCGGGCTTCAGTTTATAGAGCGACGGCCTCCAAATCCAGACAATGTGGATTCAAATCCCACTCTTCGTTCACACCTGATTGCTTCCACCAGAACAGTGGGAGGTGTGAAAGACGGCCAGACAATCAGCTGGTTGGTTACAATCTCACCAAATGTGAGAACCGTCATCCATTCCGGTAGGGCTGCTCACCATTGTGTCACACACAGGGTGCCACCTCCAACAGCAAGGTGGCGCAGCGAAGCGTGCTGGGCCCATAACCCAGAAGTCGATGGATCGAAATCATCCTCTGCTAAGATGCTTTGCTTTGAACCTACCAGGGTGAAAGGCTTTTGCGCTTGTTCAAGGGAAGGTGCCAATATGCGAAGCAGGATGAAATGAGAGTTGTGTGTTTCTGATTATAGATTGTGCTGGAACTTGAGTGTTCTACCTTCTTCCAGGCCTCTCAGAAAAAGGGTTGCACAGAACCAAAGTTCTAGGCCCTTAAGCCAAAGGAGAAGTGGTTAAACGCTCCGTCCTATTTGTTTCAAACATAGCTGCGTTCTCCGCTTATTTCACCATGGGTTGACTTTCACTGTATTCAGAAAGCCCCAGTGGCCTAATGGATAAGGCACTGGCCTCCTAAGCCAGGGATTGTGGGTTCGAGTCCCATCTGGGGTGGTGCTTCCCTCCCTTTTGTGGTTGCATTGGAGGCCATATCATCAGCCCAACAGATTAAAACCAGCCAGACATGATAAAAGAGTGGGTTCCTCTTGCTCTCTCACATTGCCAACACAACTGTGAAATGACCAGGAGCAGAGTGGAAGAAGACGAGCGTGCCAAGTCTGTTGTAAAATGCTTTATGTTTCACAGCCGTACTCAGTGATGGGCTTTGTCAAATACAGTTGAGTGCAAAAGTTTGCATCCACTTACTTTGAAATGGCAAAAAGAGTAAAACAAAGACATTTTTTCATCAACATAATATTTACTCCTCATTGAGGTAGTACAAATGTTCCTTCATCATCAAAAGTAACAAAAATGGTCAAAGCGTGTATGAAAAGAAAGATATAGTGAAATAATGAAAATGATATCAGTCCAAACATTTGCATCCCCCTTTGTGAAATGTTCTCTGATACAAAGTAAGTGGATGCAAACTTTTGCACTCAACTGTATTTGACAAAGCCCATCACTGAGTACGGCTGTGAAACATAAAGCATATGTTGCCATTATAACCTCCTCCAACCTCTTTGGGTACCCACTGAGCAGCTTTTGTATCCTCTCAGGTGTAATTTTAGCCCATTCTTCGTTGCATATTTGTTCAAAGTCTCCCAGATTGCTTGGTTGTCTGCCATGTACAGCCTTCTTCAAATCTATCTACAGCTTTTTAACAATATTCAAGTGTGGAAAGTGGGAAGGCCATGGTAAAACATTCACCTTATTCTTTTTAAACCTGAGTTGACTTTGCTTTGTGCTTCGGATCACGGTCTTGTTGAAGGATCCATTGCCTCTTCATTTTTAACGTTTTGACTAATAACAGGAGGCTTTGCTTTAAAATCTTCTGATGTTGGGCTGTATTCATTCTTCCTTCCACTTTATGCAGAGCTCCAATGCCTGATGCAGACATACACCCCCAAAACATCAGCAAGCCTCCACCATGTTTGACTGAAAAGATTATTTGTCTCATCAGACCACATAATCTTTTGTTCACATGCTCTTCAGCATACTCCAAGCATGCTGCCTTATGTCTAGAAGTAAGCAATGGCTTCCTGCATGCTTTTCTCCCAAATAACCCAGATTTATGTAGACTATGCTAGACTGTGGAGATGTGGACTTTTATTCCAGTTGCCTCTGAGGACTTTTTCAGGTCCCCTGCTGTTTGTTTTGGATTCTTACATAGCTCTCAAGCAAGTTTCCCAGCAGCTCTTTCAGTTATTTCTCTTTGTCTTCCACTTCTTGGTAGAGTGTTAATGAGTCCACGTTTCTTCCACTTCTGGATTATGGTCCTCATAGTTGGTACTGGTATCCCTAAACACTTTTAAATATTTTTATTTCCCTCTCAAGCTTTATGAAGGTTTACCAATTTCATTTTGAGGTCTTCTGACAGCTATAATCCTGATCCCATTGTTGTTGTTGCTCTCAGCAAACTGTGTGAGACTGCCCCAGGAGATCTATCCACATTTACATATAATATGCAAGGCCAATTTAACATTCCTGGTGCCACACATCAAGCATTAAGTGTTGACAGTGTTTATTAAAGATCAGACACCTGATTTTACAGATTAAAATGAATTACCTAGAGGGTATATCAAGGGGGATGCAAACTTTTGTGCTGATATAATTTTCATTATTTCACTATAACTTTCTTTTTGTACTCTCTATGACCATTTTTGTTACTTTTGATGATGAAGAAACATTTGTACGAGCTGAATGTGCAATAAATATTATGTTGATGAAAAAAATTCTTTGTTTTATTTTTTTTTCTATTTCAAAGTACAGTAGTACCTCGCTATATGAATGAGAATAATTTGTTCCATGACCGAACTCATATGTCAAAATTCTCGTATAAGGAAACAAATTTCTCCATAAGAAATAATGGAAAGTCCATTCATGCGTTCCAAGCCCCAACAATACACATTTACGCTTGTCCCAGCAATACATAGCCCTTGTAAATGCATTGTCATACACAATGTGAGATAAATATTTATTTATCCATTTTACATGAAAAGAAGGTATAAAATGTTACCTGAAAAAATAGGTTATTAAAAATCAACATTCAAAAAAACATTAACAGAACTTTACCCTTACATGAATGATGCAAAGTTCACAAAGCACACGTGGAAACAAAAAAAATGGTACACGAATGCAGCGAGTAAGAGTATGTGTTAACACAATTATGTGTTATGGCAAACACAAGCGCAGAAGTGGATAGAGAGAGGCTGTAAGATGCGGGTGTCGAGGAAAGCTGAGCGTATCCGAGTAAACCCGAAGGCTCACCTTGCGCTCGCAGGGAAAAGCCAAGTGTGACTGAGTAAACCTGACGTCTCATCTCGCTAACGTAAGGAGTTGGATGCTCGTCTCGTGGCCAACAATACAAGTTGAAGAAGAAGTTCCTCGTAGGGGAAATACGGGGAAATACGAGCAAATTTGTGCGCTCGTGTCAAGAGACATGGCTCATTTATCGGGTTACTAATCTTAGCTTGTTCATCGAGTATCTCGTATAGGGAGGCGCTCGTTGAACAAGGTATCACTGTAAGGGGATGCAAACTTTTGCACTCACCTGTCCGTCTTAGCTTACACTGCAAGAACAACGTACATCGCTCTCTCTCTCCTCTTGCTTCCATTTTTTTCACCAGTTCAGGAAACAATTGCTTCATGAAATGCCTAGTGGGCTTCACTTTGTGCCACTGGCCCCCAAGTCCAGATAATGTGGATTCAAGTCACACTCTGCGCCTGATTGCCTTCAGCTGGAATAACTGTAGGTGTGAATGACGGCCCGACAATCAGCCAAGCCGATAAAATCTCAGCAAAGTGTGAAATTACCAGGAGCAGAGTGGAAGGAGGGGAGAGCGCTAGGTCCGTTGCTCTGATTAGTCACTCCTGCTCTTGCTCGGATTGGTCACTCCTGCTTTGGTCCTTTTTCAAATACATCTCGGCTTACGCTGCCAAAGTAACGTGTCACTTTCTCCAATTGCTTCCAGTTTTTTTGTAACCAATTCAGGAAAATAATGGCACCAGTAACGGCCCAGCGGGCTTAAGTTTGTAGAACAACGTATCGCTTTCTCCCCTTGCTTCCGGTTTTACAACCAATTAAGGGAAACAATCACCTCAGTAACGGCCCAGCGGGCTTCAGCTTATAGAGCGACAGCCTCCAAATCCAGACAATGTGGATTCAAGTCCCACACTTTGTTCGCGCCTGATTGCGTTCCACCAGAACAGTCAGAGGTGTGAATGATGGCCAGACAATCAGCCGGGTGGTTACAATCTTACCAAATGTGAGAACCATTATCCATTCCAGCAGTGCTGCTCACCATTGTGTCACACACAGTGTATTGCCTCCAACAGCAGAGTGGCGCAGCGGAAGCGTGCTGGGCCCATAACCCAGAGGTCGATGGATCGAAACCATCCTCTGCTAAGATGTCTTGCTTTGTACCTACCAGTACAAAAGGCTTTTGCACTTGTTCGAAGGCAGGGGCTGATATTCAAAGCAGGATGAATTCATGGGTCTCTGATAAGAGAATATGCTGGAACTTGAGCGTTCTACCCTCTTCCGGGCCTCGCAGAAAAAG